CCGGCATAATATATTTTCCTGAAAAAAAATAAATGAATAAAAAGGTCATTCTTAAAGAACCTATTTGAGAAAAAAACAATTAAGAAATACAAAACAGTTTTCATGGTATATTATTCAATATTTTTGTATTAAATCGAACGGAAAAAAGAATTGTAGGAATTACAAAAATAATTGTCAACTTGGTATTTGGAAGATTTCGGAAAATTTTGAATGCTTAACAACTTTATCAGTTGCGCTAAGTTATTAATCTATCTCTGACAGTTAACTGATTACGGGTTATATGAATGCTCGGAGTAACATAATATCAATAAAATTGGCTCTGGGGCTATAAGCAGTGGTGAAGGATTGTGACAAAAAAATAGCAATGAATAAAGTCAATATCCCTACTGAACATCATATTAATGACAGAATGTATATAACATTGCCATGAATTTTACAAATACATTAATGAGGTAACCACAGGGAGAAGCTTTTAAAAAAGCAGTCTTGTAAGGATAATATAAACTATATTTGATTATTTCTGATGAAATTGTCAACTGTAAAGTTATCAAGATATGATTTCTGAATTTATATTTCAATAAATAGCACTCAAAGTCATATTGAAATTAAATACTACATTTTGTAAATTAAGTTAATGTAGATAAAATATGATATGAAATACTCTAAACCAAAATCATTTGACAAATGACATTCGCCTCTGCTTAGTAAAATTGTTTGCTACACTTAGTCCCCAAATGCCATTAACCTGTATCTCTACACACCTTCATGATGATGCATATCGTTTACAAGCTTCATATCACTTATTTCTAAGAAGGCTATAAATACAACATTTTTATATAACATAGCTATAACAGCTCTTTCAAATCATTTTGTAGTTTTTTGACCAAAGTAAATAATATCTAATGACAAGTCAATATTGTGAACTTAAATCCCCACAAAAAGTAACTTTGTGAATAGATTATGATAATAGCTTTTATTAATATTTTTGGTCAGTCATAATTTAAATTAAACTATAAAAATCCAGAGCTTTATGATTTCTAATATAAAAAAATACCGTATATGACATAATTTTAAAGATAAGCAATATAAGTAACGTACAATAATTATTGATGAACATTTGTCATTTCAGCAAGTCCCATTCGCAAGACAGTAATGTTATTTTTTCTGGTTGAAAGCCAAATCACACTTTGCAGTCAGCACAGTACGCATTAAAGAATCAAAAGTCGGAATGTATTGTCGGTTTTACCACCAGCTGTAAATAAAATAATGTTAAGTGCATATGCCCATTTAAAGTTATATAGTGAGTGAACGGGTGAAAGTCCAAAATAAGTTTCCATTTGCATAATTCCTTTTTTTTTTTAAAAATAAGTTGCATGATAACAAAATAACTCGCAGACTACCCAACGAAATTTCTGTAATCCATAAAAATTACCTATAACCGCTTAGTTTATAAAAAAGAGGTGGGGCATCTTTTTAAATTTTAGAAGATATATAATTTAACCTAAACATTTTCCAATATCAACTGTTGGTCAAACACGCATTTGACTGTCACTCTTTTGAAATATAAAGTTAATCGCTCAACTTGACAAGAAAATATGACCATATGTCACTTTTAAATTTTAGATGCATATAAATTGTCATTATATGTAGAGAAAATGAAAGGTGTAACAATCTACCATAGCTCTCTAGCACCGACTGAAACGTTATTCAGATCTCAAAGTGTAATCAACTCCTTACACTCCAATTATATCAGATCAAAAAATAAATTTCACAGTTTAAGTTTGTTTCAATATCAACATTATCAAAAGGCAATACAAAACCAAATAAACCGATGATTACAGAGAATTTGATTTGAATACATAGGTTTTCCCATTTAAAACGTCAAAGCATCCCTTAAGACAACTGTGGTTACCAACATAACTCATACGACCGCATAAATTATAAACAACCAGCAAGGTCAACGTTATATATATTGGTTGAAAAAGAATGTAGTTGGTCTGAATTAGTTTGTAAATAATTTAAAAATCTAATCAAGAATGATAGGGATGATAAGCCAAATAATGCTGTGTACACACACTAACGACATATCTCACTGGTGAGAGGCAATAGCGCCGTCTTGGGGGAAATTATAATACAAAGCTGATTTACAATAGTGTTAAGCAGAGCATGTCCATATAACATATAATAGCTCCTGTTCTTGTCCGTTAAACAAAGGAAGGAAAAGTAGTGCGTAATGCTACAATTTATAATTCCAATTTTAAAATCAAAATGTAATATAACATCAAATTCTCTCCAGAGAAGAAGAACACTGCTTGTAAATTAGCTGTCAATACAACTGTTCAGTTGGTAAAGTCTTAAGCATCGATTCCAATCACAGTTACAGTTAAAATGAAAAAAGTGCTTTATAATTTGACTGTTTATATACGAGGATAATTTGTATATATTATAAATTACATTTGATTTAATATGAAATTTAAAAGTCATTGTAGTTAATATTTTTTTGAAAAGCGTGTTCAGAAACATTTTCAGTACCACTATAAATAGTTTAGTTCTGAATCGTCTCCACTGTTCAATCAGCTTATAATATTAGTCCTGTTATGTTGTATCAAAGTGGTAATCCTTTTTTTATGCGTTATTTAAGGTCGCCGCCGCGGAAAGCCATACGACCGTTCACGCAGGACCGCCGAGACACAACCTTTAAGTCGGCGCCATCCGAATATATCTTATGGCTGGAGATAGACCGTGCTAAATTTACCGTCCGCGAGATGTTATTTCGTCGACTTTTGTTCATCATCCAGTCTTTTACATTAGGTGGAGGTGAAAGAGACCCAACGCATAGTACACTTGGTATCTCTCACGGGCAGTATTATCAGGCACGAGCGGCACTGACCCACGGGGTTAGATCAACTAACCTTACAGAGTCCGGTAGACCAACTATTAAACCACACGTAAGTGAAAATTATATATATGTCATAATGTATGGGTCAAATAAACCAGATTTTTCAACAGAGAATGTGAAATATGTACTGTCCAATCATATTGTCATGATTTTATGTAAACATCATGAAAAATATATGCAATTCTATTTCTTTTTACAATTTGACTTAAGCTTTATGCAATAATAAGTTTTTATACCAGTCCCTGGTTTTTATTTCATGTAATGTTAAATAAATCGGTTAACGATATCCCTATTAAGCTTTGTCCGGTAGCATATACATTCAGTTTTCAACTATAATAGTCATGTGTTTGTACTTCAATCTTGGTATGCATCGGGCTTCTTTCAATAAAACCCGAAGTGCAGTTGGCACAAAGGACTGTAACTCTGCAGTTTTCTTAAATTTTTGAGTTATTATTTGCCGACGGCTTGTGTTTAATTTTCTATATTAAGATTATTTGTCAGCGCGCATTTCTCTTTTCTACTGAAGAAGCTATGGACGTTGATACTCCGTTTCATAGGGGAATTTGATAAATTCATTGAAGAAGAAGTGCAAATGCAGCAAGAATCTTTGCGTACGTTTTAATTTGTTGGGAGCTTTCGAATGTTTTGATCTCTCTAGCATCTTCCTAATTTTTGACTTATATGCCAGCTTTGTTCAATTTTCATACTTTTATTTTTTTGTCCGGCAAGCCATCTTCTCCTGAATTGTAATAATAAAAGCCATTATGGACTTGTGAACTTTTTTTCAATATGGATGATCAAGAATCTCATTAAGAAGAAGTGCAGCGCACAAGAACAACGGTACTCTGGCATTTCTTATTTTTTTTTGAGTTATTCGCCCTTTGTGGTAATTTTCATACTTTAAGTTGATTGTCCGGTTGTGCATCTTCTCCTTAAATATAAAAGACATTACATGGACTTAGAAAACTTCATTAGGATGAATAGATTTCATCATTAAGAAGAAGTGCAGTTGCAACAAGAAATCAGTACTCATGCAATTTCTTATTTTTTTTGAGTTATTAGTGCTCGCTTTAGTTAATTTTCATACTTCTCAATTTATTGTTTGGGCTATTTTCTCCGAAAGTATAAAAAGCTATGGACTTGAAGGACTTCATAGAATGGATAGATCTCATTAAGAACAAGTGCAGTGGCACAAGAATCGGGTACTCTGCATTTCTTATTTTTTGAGTTATTTGCCCTTTGTTGATTTTCTTACTTTATTTTTGTCCTGGTCATTTCTCCTCAAGTATGAAAGCTATGGACTGTGAAACTTCATAGGATGATAGATCTCATTAAGGAAAAGTGCACGTGGTACAAAAGAACCGGTACTTTCTGCACTTCTTATTTGTTAGTTATTCCCTTTATTAATTTTCATACTTTATTTTTGTCCAGGCTATTTCTCATAAATTATAAAAGATATGGACTAAGAATGATAGATCTTATTGATAAGAAGTGCAGTGCACAGAAACTGCTGCTCTGCACTTATTATTTTTTGAGTCATTGCCCTTTGTTAGTTTTCATATTTTCATTTTTGTCCTGGCCATTTCTCCTAAACTATATTGTTCACAAGGCGACACATCCGACTCGCGGAGTTCTAGTTAATTTTACTATAGGTATGATTCTTGCAGGATAAGGGTTAATGATTTAAATGGCACTGTACATTTAAAATATGTCTACCCCATATAAATAGTGTAGAGAACACTTCCTAATACTGTTCAGGTTTCTAGGCTTGTGTTGTTGTCTCAAAATTATTTAGACATACTGTGAAACAATGCATGTGTCTAATAAGTCATTGATCCAAAAAATGTTGTCACTTTAACTCAGTCAACATAAACAATGTCATGTGATAAATCAGATTATGTTCATGTGACAAAAGTAATCATGTGACAAGCAACAATATATATAAAGTCATTTGATTTGAAGTATGTGAAATGATCATGGACTTGAACTTCAGCCATGTTAATTACATTGTTCTAACTCATAAATTCTTATTCTAGAAAATTGAACATAGAATAATTTTAATTAAAGTGTAATTAAAAAAAAAACCCAACATATTGCTGAAGTTTCACTTTATTTACTTCAGTTGCTTTATTCAAGCATTTCAAGTAGAAAGTCATAACACTTTACATGTACAATGTATATGTCATAATTCAAATTTCAGTATTAATCTGACAAACAATGTTTTTTTTTTTTTGTAAATGGCCCATTGTGTTTGTTTACTCGTTATTCCTGGAGGGCTTATTGACATTTGTGACATGTCTTTTTATAAATTAAGCCATAAATATTGATCTGTCAGTCTTGTGAACTGTGATAACACTCTTTAATATAATTATATATTGTTGGCTGCATAATTCGTTAGTAACCACTTTCAAATCGGACTCTTTCCAAATGAAATGGGGGCAATTCCATGTTCTTTCATTGATAATGCTTCTTTCAATATATAAATGTTCTTATAATATTTGATCTTGAATCATAGCCAAATATCCAATGGTTTATGTTGTTTAACCATGCACGTATATACAGTTGTATTAAAAATTGTACACTTACATGTTTTAGATTTCTACTATTGGCTACTATCATTAGCTACTATTCTACCATATAATGGTTATTTTATTAATATATATTAAGTAGGGCTGGGAACGAATAAGGAATTTGATGTTCGAATATTCGTTTTCCATATTTGAATATATTCAAATATTTGTTTTTACAACATTTGTTCCAATATTTGCTCTTTGACTTATACGTATCCGAAATTGATTGCGTCGAATACAAACTACTTTAATATGCTTGGAATAATCGACGGTTAAAAATACCTATATTATTACGTTAAAAGTTATTTATTTTATAATATTGTAAATCGACACTAAATGTTAAAGCTTTTGAAATAAATTCATAAATTTAATTGCCTTTTGTTCAGTTAATCCCGACTGCTGATCATTTGTCTTATTAACGGGAGGTAATTCACGTGACTTGGATTGACAGTAATATGAATCAATGTAGCCTCTTAGCCCCAAAAACACATAATTTATATTGAAACTTAATTTGAATTAAAATATATTTTTTATTTATTTATAATTTTAGATAAGGTTTAAAAATATTCTTCAGATAAATTTTAGCTATCACGCAGTAAATATCACACGGAGTCATAGTTTCTACAGAAATAAATATATTTTGATGGAAATAATGACACTAGACCATGCTTTCAAATAAAGCCATGTAAAGCCATAAGTTTTTGCTCTTTCCCCATCTATTAGTATCAATATGAATTCTTGCTCTTTCCCCGTCTATGAGTATCAATATGAATTTTTGCTCTAAAAATTCCATGTCTATGAGTATCAATATGAATTTTTGCTCTTTCCCCGTCTATTAGTATCATTTAATAGATACACAGATATACTGCTGTTTATGAGGAATTCTCTTATTTTGTCTCACACAACAGACATATATATATATATACTTTCTATTCTCCAAATTGACTGTAATTAAACAATGAATATTTGTAAAGCAGTCTCACTCTGGTTTATGATATATACATAAAGATGAAATATCTGCTAACCAATGTAAAATATTTATTGTAATAATTATACAGCTATGCGGTTTTCTCTTAAAGATTACTGTGTTTCAAAGTTCATGTGTAAATTGCGAAGTACAAATATAGGAAAAAACTATTTGACCTGGTATACTAGAGAAAATAGTAAAAAGGGCAGTGAATTGTCATGAGAGCTAATGTTTAATGTTGTTTATCTTTCTCTTCACAAATATCTGACCTTATTTAGCATCTAGGTATAATACTAAATTGAGTACACTGTACTTTCTACAAGCAGTGATGACATAAAAGGTATTAATCTAGTAAAATGAGAGATAAAGTATTAAATTGTCCTCATCTAGCAGCCATCTTGAGAATGGTTTAATAAAATTGTATTGCTAAAGTAAAGAATATATGTAAAATCGTTTTTGCTGTCTGATTAGGCTACTATTTGATGTTGGATTTTGTTTTTCATTTAAATATCAAATTCCTCCTATAATAATATAATACGTTTTTAAAAAAAAAAATAATTAAAGTATGTGATATACATATAGCCTTTGTGATAAAGGAGAGTTGACTACCATGCAGCTCTGGGTACAACTATTGTCTGCTTTCATGTATTTATTATCTACTTGTATATATATGTATCTTGAATAATAATATGTTTAAACCAAAGCATGAAAAAACATTTAACCCAAATTTAGCATAAAAATGGTGGATGATGGCAATTTGACATTAAATTTTCTTGTTTATTATATTATATCAATTTTTTTGGCATTGAATTGACATAGAATTATTTTCTGTTACTTCTGTTACAGCTATGGTAATGGCTGATGTAACAGTGATTACCGAGATGATGAAAGAAGAAGAGACCAGAATTAAGGGCTTCCTTGAAAAACTTGGACAGAAACTAAAAGACAGAAAGGTATGATTATATGAAGTTATTGTTGCTATAAAATAAAAAAAAGACTCCCCACCCACTTGTGTGTGATGTGCTGGCTAACAGTCTGCTCAGCTGCTAATCATTACACCTGCTGTTAGAGAGAAAGTGTCTAGCCTTTGCCAGCAGTAAACAGCCAGGCCAGCCTAAATCAAAATATATTGATGTGCCAAAGCTTAATAAGGTTCTGTGATATTTTCCTTCTGGGTCAGAATCTTGCTTCTATAAGAGACAAGATATTTTCCAGACACAAAATAACACAACATCTCGTCACACAGTACAGTTAGTTGGACTAGGCCAGCCTGAGCATGTCCTTGCAGTCTGACCAGGCTCTATACTGTTTTGTTAGCTAAACTTTATGATTTGAGATTAATATTTCTAAAGTTTTAAATGAACTGTTCCAAATTCAAAGGAGTATACAACCACTTCAGCAGATTATGGGTTAATTTGATTTTCATGTAGACTTACTTTTTAATATTCAACACTCAACATATAACATTTTAGTTCCATGCCTTTGAATATATATTTATAATTATATATATATATATATATCAAGTTATATATATATATATATATATATGTACTTAAACATCATTATAAACCATCTCTGGCATGTCTATTCATGGCAGATCACAAAGAATGTGCAAGTGCATAATTATATGTACATGTGTTTGATGTTTCTTTGCAGAAAAAGAACAAATGATAAACAGTATCATTATACCTATATATAAAACTGAGTTACCTAGACACTTGCCTGATAAGATTAACATTTTCATTTCTTGTTTGAAAACCCAGTGTGAGGGTTGTTTATCAGTGATAAAGATGTAAATATATTGTAACCATTTATGATTATACATTTTTAGCTCGACTTTTCTATGAAAAGGGGAGCTATCCTACTCGCCCCGGCGTCGGCGTCGGCGTCGGCGTCACACCTTGGTTAAGTTTTTCGTACCACCCCACTTTATTTCAGAAGTATTACAAGTATGGCTTTGAAACTTACCATACTTGTTCACCATCATAACCTCCATCTACAGACAAGAGTACATAACTCTGTCAAGGTTTTTGACAGAATTATGGCCCTTTTTTGACTTAGAAAGTGTATTGAGCTTGGTTAAGTTTTTTGTACCACCTCACTTTATTTCAAAACCATTGGAGGTATTGCTTTGAAACTGACCATACTTGTTTACCATCACGACCTTCATCAACAGACAAGAGGACATAACTCTGTCAAGGTTTTTGACAGAATTATGCCCCTTTTTGACTTAGAAAATACATTGAATATGGGTAAAATCCACTTATTGCCTTAACCCTTTGAGATATTGCTTTGAAACTTTTAATGCTATTTCACATCATTACCCCCATCTGTACGCAAGAGAAGGTAACTCTGTCAAGGATTTGTTTTAAAAATTAAGGCCTTTTATCGACTTAGAATCTTGGTTAAGTTTTTAGTACCAGTCCACTTTTTGACTGAACTGTTTGAGATATTAATTTGAAAGTTGGAATACTTGTTTACAATCATGATTCCCAAAACATGTCCAGGAGAAGGTAATTCTGTCAAAGATTTTATTTGAATTATGGCCCTTAACTGTCAATGTTTTGTATTATAGGCAAGCACTAAAAAACTTAAAAAATCTAAAAAAATTCATTCCTATCCACTTGTTCACTTTACCATAAATTATGTCATATAAACATTGCTGTAATATTCAATTCAGTAAAATAATTCTTCACTAAATATCTTAATGCTCATGGCCATTGTTCACTTTAAAAATACAGAGATTCTTGTATTGCCTTTTACTGCAAAAACTTTTTTTATTGGCAAGCAATAAAAAAGTCGAGCGCGCTGTCTTACGGACAGCTCTTGTTGTAATGTTGCTTTCATTGGATAATAATGACGTGTATATAGTTTTATATACCAAACAGCTGTCAATTTATGAAGAATTCTCACTTTTTGTGCCCCCACGTTAGTGGGGGGCATTTAGATTTACCCTTGTCCGTCCGTCTGTCCGTCCGTCCTTCCAACCGTCCGTCCGTTAACTTTTGTGTCGCACGTAACTCAAAAAGTATTTGACCTAAAGTCATGAAACTTTACAGGAATGTTGATCAGCATGTGTAGTTGTGCACCTGGGTATTTTCATCTGGATATTTTTAGTATTTTCAGAGTTTTTGCCCTTGACTTAGTAAAATTTTGCAATTTTCAACATGTTTTGCACGTAACTCAAAAAGTATTTGACCTAGAGTCATGTAACTTAACAGGAATATTGATCAGCATGTAATGTTGTGCACCAAGGATTTTCATCTGGATTTATTTAGTATTTTTAGAGTTATTGCCCTTCACTGAGAAATTTTTTGCAATTTTCAACTTGTGTCGCAAGTTACTCAAAAAGGATTTGACATAGTCATTAAAACCTTATGGGCAGGTTGCTCAGCATATTTAGATTTGCACCTGGGGTTTCGCTTGTGGATTTATCCAGTATTTGTAGAGTTATTTCCCTTGACTTAGTAAAAAGATTGACAGAACAGTGGCGCGGTGGTCACAGGCACCCGTGTCCTATGGACACATTTCTAGTTTCTCTATAAAAAATGAAGTTTTCTGTATTTTCATAATTATTCCTACAGGTTATATGGCCTTAATGGTTATTTGGAAATATAGTTTGAGCTTCTCTGCTAAAAATCTTTAAAACTAATGATAATGATAATAGGTTGAAAGCTTACGTCATAACATAATCAATATGAAAGGGTTTTGAAAAAAACAACTGCTTAATACACAGTAATATAAACAACTGTTAATGCCTGTATAACAAATCAATATTTCTTTGTTAAGCAAAATTCAATTCCTTAATGTTCAGCAGTTGTGTATATATAGATAATATTGTAAACAACCAATGAAATTCTCTGTTACAAGTGGGCTTTATTTTATAATGAATGTAAACATAATCATTTCTTAGGACTACACTGTAGCAAAATGGATTTCTGTAGACGTCTTTTGGATAGTAATAAGCACTTTGAAAAAGCTAAATCAACATGACAGGCTTCAGACAGTATGTCATTAGCTGGTGGTGAAATAACTAGGTTTACCCATCAGACTGACGAGTTAATACATTAGTTAAAGTTGTTACCATGTATATTAACTGACTGACTTGTAATCTAAGGATTTCTAGCCGCGTGGGTTCAAACTTCATCAGGAGCGGGCTGTTTTCTTCTTGAGCAAGAAACTCTTTAGTAATACAATTATTGCTCAGTACTGGTTGGTTTTTAGGAACTGATTCCAGAGTGCATCATTAAGGTTCATAATGGCTTCCTACGTAATCAAACTAAAATAAATTCTTAATAAACTACATGTTTTTCTTCTAATTAAAAGATCAACAAATCCATTCAAGATATCTAGCATGGCAGGGGTAAAGCAAAGTAGTGAATTTTCTTCAAGATTTATTAACATGTATCCTGCTTACTAATTATTCAACCCTCAAAGCTGTTGGTTCGAATCCTGACAGGAACTTTTGATTCTTCCATGTGAGGAAGCTATCCGGCTGGCTTACGGAACGTGGGTGGTTCTACTAAGGTGCCCGTTTGTGCCTGAAATAATGCACTGAAAGGCACCTGAGGTCTTCCTCCAGTAACACTGGAACATCACCATATGACCTATACTGTGTCGGTGTGACTTAAAACCCAATCAAACAAACAAACTAATTGTAAAATGAAGTTATTCTTCACCTAAATTCAGGTTCAATTCACAAACAGTCTATGAAGTACTATGAAAATTTGAAATTAAATTATCAAAAAGCAGCTAGCAGCAGTATATACTATAATTCTGGTCAGATTGTGCAGAACCTTAAGTTCTATCCTGGTGGTATAGTGTGGCCAGACGCCCTTTTCTAGGTCTGACCACTCGGGGAATTAGCTTTAAATCTTCACTTCACAATTGCTTTTGAAATTTATATAACAACAAACTCTAATGTCCACATTCAGTTTCTTTTATTCCATATGATTTGCTTAATCTTTTACACCAGTCCACCTTATTATTAACTAACAATTATCTATTACAATATCAAATTAAATCCTTTTATTCACTTCTAATCTTTCTACTCAATGTATTTTCTTTTCTTATCCTAACCTTCTTAACCTAGACTTAAACCTAAACTGACCTAACTTTCCCCCCAAATCTTTGTGTCCAAAATACTATCCAAACCAAAGTATCTGCCCCCTTTTTGAATTTATCCAATCAAATAATATATTTCTTATCTTTAATCTGTCTATCATAATTAATAAAACATTATCACATGTGCATTTGACCATCTTCTAAGTTTTTACATCAAAGGATTTCACACCTAAGTGATATTGCTTTGAGAAGCTGAAGGAAGCAGACCAAAACTAATTTCAGTCTATCCCCCTCAGCTTTCCAAAGAACCAAAATATGTTATTAGATCACATATTAGCATAATATTAGGTTGATCATAAACATAAAACAAAATATTGCCTGGCTACAATAGCCAAACCATTATTACCTCTTGGGTTGAAAAGGTTAATATCATAATTATCAGCACTTCAGGAGGAAAATTTTAGACCAGATACAATGACATATGTCTTAATTGATTTATCTCCTCTAAACAACATGTACTTAGGTGAGACATTAATTGTTTTAAGACTCCTTTGATGTTTTCATGTGGAGTGACTTATAACAAGTTGATCTCTAGTACTGTAGATATGTGCCTTGTTCTAGGTAAAGTTATTCATAGGTCAGTCATAGCTTGATGGGATTTTGTTCATCCACAGTGATAATTTAGGTGATAATTTACTTACATTGTCCAAAATGATGCCTAGATGAGTTGATGCTTGTGAAATGTTTTGCACCTTCTGACCTAAAATGCATTAGTGTTGGTTCTGCGCTTCAAAGGCAACATTAGAAATGACAGAAAATTACTATTGTATTAATGTAACATTTAAGTTTCATATGTGTCATTAAAAACTGATAAAGTACAAGTTAAAGATTACAAATTGTTTTTAGAATAAATGCATCCTGCAAATGTAGATAACACCTCTATTTATTGAAATTGTAAGAAAATGTGAATTCCAAATTCTGTTATGAAATATATATTCTATACATTGTATTTCTTGGTATCTTTTTGCTACAGATTATAAGTGTTTGAATATATTTGAGAACCATGCTTGGATAGTTCAACAAAATTTTTAATGAACCAAACTTATTTTGTTTTAATTCACTAAGTTTTACAATTTTGTTCTTTCTAGTCTGGCGGTAAAGTGAAAAGTGTTGGTGGAAGCCCAGGAGAGGTAATCTGCAAAGTTGCAAACGATGAGCACGCTGATCTTATCGTCACGGGAACCAGGGGTATGGGTACGATCCGACGCACATTCCTCGGCAGCATAAGCGACTACATCATTCATCATGCTCACGTTCCAGTCCTAGTTTGCAGACACAAAGATCATCAGCACCACCATTAGAACCTCTCTGATTGGCTGGTATAAATAGTAACATGATGTCATCAGTCCAAGTCATGAATAGTAATGAGAAAGTTAGTGACAATAATAAGGTTAACTTTTCAGATTTTTTTTTTTTACTTTTTATCTCTGTTAAACAGAAGTAGATTTTGATTAAATATATAGCTATATATTATTTCAATAAATGATGTATAGTCATCTATATGTAAATGCACTTAAGAAGTAATGATAATGCTTCACCTCTGATTTTGATCATAAAGAAAATTTCTTTTCATTACCTTTTTGAAAATATTAAATTTTTTACGTAATTCTTCCTATTTTATATGTAAATTATTAAAAAAAAAGACACTCTTAAAAAACTTTTAAAGCTTGTAAACAAGAACAGGATAGTTATCATTATGAAATCAGAAAAATCTGAGAATTGAAAACCATTTCATTTTTTTGATTACCGTTTTTGCAGGCAGCAACTTCAAATTTTTGGCCTATGATTTATGATTCCTGCTCTCAGGCCTGAACCGTATATAAGTTTATCCCATGATGCATTATTTGACCATACATTTAGTTTTTTGTTGTCTCTATTCATTTTATATAAGTTAGTGCATTAAATTGTAATATATCATATTAAGATAAACTATAGATTAATCACAAATATGTATTTGGATATATATATATATATAAAATTGTATGTGCCATTTTTCAGGAAGCGCAATAATCATTATAATATCACTTTGTGGGATCAATATTTAGTTTAGTTTTCTTTTATATATTTAGGTCTCTTGTATTTTTCCATGATTTTTATTCACAAAAATAACTACATAGATATTTAAAGTTTTGGTTGATCTTTGAATTACTATCAAACTTTTTTGAGTGCACAGACCTTTGAGTGCATACAACTTTGAGTGCATAGCTACTATTTTTTGAGTGCATGCATTTTTGAGAGCATACACATTTTAGGGTATAGACCTTTGAGTGTATAAACCCTTGAGTGTATGTACCTCAGTGCATTCACATTTCACTTCTGAGTACTTAATATGAAAGTCAAAGAGCTTAAATTGCATAGCTTTTTCCTTCATTCAGCTACTGGAATACTTGAAGGGTCTAATTAAGCTAACATGATTGTTAAATGCTAGATTGAATAATGCTGTCTGGAAGCATATAGACAGATGTTTGATATCATTGTTGCATTATTGTTTGATGTCCCTGCTTTAAAGCTTATATAAAACCATTAATTCAGCATTGATAAAAAAATTTTCTTACCTCTATATTTCCACTTTCAACTTTTCCTGCCATTCTTAAAGGTGAATATTTTTACCATCACTGCCAGCACATACTGTACTATATTGGACATTTCAATGCCTCTTACTTATGTTATCGACTCTTGTGCTTTATATTTTAACATTCCTTAAGCCCAGTCACCTTAATACATTGTATTGTATATTAAAGTGATCAGTGGTATAAATCAGGATTTGGTGCAGCACAGGAAAGGAAAACAATTTTTTAGAGACTAGTTTAATATTTTTTACCCAATTTTACCCATTGTTTTTTTGCATTTTTTCCTTCAAATTTCCATTTACGACAAAAGCATTCAAGATGTAAGGGTGATTTTTTCCTGTTAAGTATTCAGTTCAGGGTATTTTGACTTAGGTTGTGTGAGACCTTCACATGCTTATTTTCTTATGTTTTATACACAGTGTATTATTAGGTGGGCCAGTAAAAAAAGAGGTTGCATTATCAATGCTATATGTACAATAATTCAAATTACCAGCACAAGTTAGTGGTTTTTATTGGCAAAAACATCACCAAATTTATGTGGCCAATATTTTAATCTAAACAATACGTAAGAAATGAATGGTATATAAGTATATAATTCAAAATATTATGTATAATTTAATAAATATATAAAGTATACCTCAAATTTGTTGAACTAAAATCTAATGTTAAACTATGAATAATCACTTTATCATTGTACATGTAACTTTGATTTCATCACCATTATTGTCAGTACATAATTAAGATATCTTATTCAGGGGCATGATTATACATAATTGTGTAACTTTGTATACAGCAAGAGTGGTTGCATGTATTAAGTACTTACTAACTAACATGTTGTCCCATATATTAACTCTCCAGTATATATTTTAACATGTATTAAATACTTACACTTTACATTTTATGTCTGTTTATATACATATAAATGTGCTGCTAAAGTGTACACTTTACATAGAAAAAAAACAAAACCAAAATGTATTAAGATTGAGACATTGAGACAATCTGCTGAATGTATGTTCCTGTATGTGCTGGTACAAACAAACATTAATCTTGGTAATATTAATATTAATCTCCTGTAAAAACACAGTGATATATTAGTTTTGGTAACATTAATTATTGATAAAAACACAGTCATACATTAGTCTTGGTAATATTGATATTTATTGCCGTTACAAACATAGTGATACATTAATCTTACATTAATCTTGGTAATATTGATATTAATCTCTGGTAAAAACACAGTGATACATTTGTCTTGGTAATATTAATATTTATCCCTGTGATACATTAGTCTTGGTAATATTAATATTTATCACTGGTAAAAAACAGTGATACATTAATCTTGGTAACAACATTAATCTCTTGTACAAACTTGAAAGGAAAATTATAGTATACAAGCAAATTAATTTGTTCTAATTTAAATCAAATTTAACAATATATGTGATTATTTTACATATTAAGATAATACTCTAGTCAAATCAGCAGGAATCCAAACTATATATTGTGTAGCATAATAAATTAAAAGATCTGCTGTTTATTATGTTAGATATAATTGATGTGAAAATCTAGTGGGTTTTTAATATAATGTTTTAATATTTAGTTTTTAAGTTTAAATAAGGATACTTACATTTTTTTCATCATTTTGAACACATACACATTTTGTAATTAAGGCAGTGGTCTGAGAGAAGAAACTACTTTGTGGTCAGGTTTGAATTTTATGTTATCTAGAAATGAAACATGTACGTCTTATTATATTTTATAATCTTGAAGATTTATAATGAATAATTGAAATTGTTGGGTTTATTCTGAGAGGAAATGGTTCAAGATCTAAATGAGCCGCATCACGACAAAAGCAACATAGTGTGTTTGTGACCACCATGGATCCAGACCAGCCTGGGCATCCGCACAGTCTTATCAGGATCCATGCTGTTCGCTTACCAACCCTATTACAAGTAGAGAAACTGATAGCGAACAGCATGGATCCTGATCTGAGCAAACAGCACAGATCCTGATCAGACTGCACGGATGCGCAGGCTGGTCTGGATCCATGCTGGTCACAAATGCACTATGTTGGTTTTGTCGTGACATGGTTCAAATGTTGTAAAGTGAAGAAGTTTAGAAATAAGTGCTCCTTTTTACAGATTTATTGATATTTTAGATATTATTAATGTATATCTCTATCTCATGTAGTTGTAGATTTCTATATAGAAGAGTATTTTACAGTAGATGTGCTACATACTTGTTCAACAAATTTAAACGTGGCATGGTTGTGAATAAAAACTACAATATTTTTATGTTTGTATAGAAATTGAATATCTTAAATGGTTCAACTTGAAATGAAATTATAATACCCCATCTGTTTATTGCAGTACAGTGTTATAAATATTTATAAGTGTTTTTGTTCTCTAAGTGCTAAAAAGCTGATGCAATATGCAAATGTCTTAATATTTTTATTAGTTCGCTGACTAAATGATTTTTTATACTATTTTATATGAATTATTCTGCTTTATTATGACAGACACAAAGTAATTTGTTTGTCAAATAGTAAGGTGATTGTTTTTAGCATAAGATATTTGATAATAAGGAAAGCATTTCAAATGTTAAGTAATTTCTATGTCATATATATGTCATATATATACTTTTTTTTTAAACAGAAAAAATCAATACCTTTTATATTGGAAAACAAACTGTCTTAATGCCTCACTGCGCCATATGTTACATGGTTCTACAAAATCGGTTATAATCTTGATAAATCAATACAGTTGATATAAGCCTTATAATAGTAAGGTAATGTAAATTTTACAAAGGTTAAATTAGATTTTCTTTTTAAAGCATCCCTTAATAATTTGTTATTTGATTTCTTTTGGATATTTATTTAAAATTTACATATTACAGTCGTATAAACAAACAAAAAATGTATATTGTTATAAACTTTATTTTAACGACAGAGACTACAGATACATATTTTAGTTTCTGTACAGAGTTTGACTTAAACTAAATATTTCACGTTTAGTACTTCAGCAATTGTGAAAAGTGCCAGCGTATTACTAGTTTCAGCATGTGAAAATGGACAGAAACGACTGCCTTGGACTTAAGTGGCTTTATTTAATTTGATGTACTGAACATGTGATGTAGGAATGATCTGTACCAAATTAAGATCTTATTGATAAATGGTTTGATGTTTTGATCTGAATTTATATTTGCACTATTGTATTATACAGGTAAATAAAATCGTACAAATATTTGTTAGAGTCATGTTTATATTACCTCCCTTTCATTTACATAGTAGATGATTTACAAAAAAATTGGGTTAACAGAACTGTCATAATTCATTGTAAATAAGGAGGTGCATAGAATTAATAAAAGATGCTGAAAAACAACGAATAATAACGAACTTTATCTAGATTCTCTTTGGTACATGTTAAATATGAAACTCTTCATTTTATAGTTTATAGACGCTTGCCCAGCAAATATTTACATTAGGTGTATTTTGTCATGTAAATTTTAAATGTAAATGATATTTGGCGATGCGCTCTTTCCATTTATATTTTAAGAATCTTAAATGATAATGAATTGTTATTGGATAATCTACAACATCTTTATTTGACTTTGTCTTGCTTGCGTTTTTAATTTACTTCCAAACAATTCAAAATGGTAAGGGTTAAAAACACATGTTTTGTTATTACTTTAACAATAAAAAATACATGTTAGTTATAATTCCATGTACCAAGATT